TTTGATATCAAGCTCCTTGATCTATTTTGAGTTAACTTTTTTGCATGGCAAGAGAAAGGGGATTCAGATTCATGTTGTTGCATATGAATTTCCAGTTTTCCCCCGCACCATTTGTTGAAGATGCTTTCCTTCCTCCATTGCATGCTTTTAGCCCCTTAGTCAAAAACAAGAAAGTTGTAGTTTTGTGGATTGGTCTCTGTGTCCTCTATTCTGTACCATTGGTCCACCCTCCTATTTTGGTACCAGTACCATTCTGTTTTTGTTACTATTGGGGTGTGTCATTTTATACAGGGTGGTTGAGAAGCCTTCACTGATGAAGTAAAATTTGGGGGGAATCTTGAAAGAAGTGCAAGAATGAGCCATTTGGCCATTTAAAGGAACAAAAGAAGCAAAGTCCTGGGAAGAGAGCAGGCTTTACTTATGTGAGGGATAGCAGAGAGGACAGAGTGCTGCAGTGGAGCAAGTGAGGGAGACAGTAGTTAAGATGAGGCCAGAGATAGATGTCGGGCAGCAGTTTTATCTATATGTAATTGAGGGAAAGCACTTGTGATGCACGTCACTGACAGAGAATTAGTATCAAAAACATATTTTATAAATAAACAAACGGAATGCAAATAATTTGACATAAACAGGTGAAAATATATGAACACATTCACTGAAGATGAAGCACATAAAGTCATATTCCATTGCTTTATTGATCAGAGAAATGCAGAAGGCCACAAAGAAAAAGTTTATGTCCATTCTATTGGCAATGCTGGGTATCTGAGAGCATGCAAACCCACAGGCTCTCTTGTTTATTGCTGGTGGATGAATTTAAGTTGGTACACCCACTTTGGAAAATAATATTGGCACTCACTCGTAGGTTCAACATTCACATTCAGAGATTACACTTCAACTCAAGAAGAAATGTATATAAACATAGCAACACTGATCTTAATATTAAAAACCTAGAAATTATTCAAGTGCCCATTAATAGGACAGCAAATAAATAAATTGATAAATTGATAGTTGCACAGTAAATTATTATACAGCCATCAACATGAATGTTAGTGATAATTTCCAGATGAATAAAGGGGAAAAAAATAAGTCCCTGGAAACTACACGAAGCATGAGAACCTCTTAATAGTTATAAACAACCAAAATTTTAAAATGGACTTTTCTCCCAGAACACATATAAAGGATATAAATATATATTTTTAAAAAGAAGCTGGGCATGGTGATACTGCCTCTAACTCTAACAACTCTGGAGGCTGAGACAGGAGGATCAGAAGTTCAAGGCCAGCCTGGGCAACTTAATGAGACCCTCTCTTAAAATAAAATTAAAAAATAAAGGGCTGGGATGTAGCTCAGTGGTAGAGTGCTTGCCTAGCATGTGAGAACTCTGGGTTCCATACAAACAGATACACATGAATGATGAACCAATTTCAAGAAAGTAGCTATTTTAGAGGGTCAAGTGAGGAAGATAGGAAAAGGCACAAAGGCAGGTGTTGAAGTTACTAAGGGCTGTAATTTTTTTTTCATTAAAAATAAATAAGCAAGCCGTCCATGGTAGCACACAACTATAATTCCAGCAGCTTGGGAGGCTAAGGCAGGAGGATCACGAGTTCAAAGCCTGCCCCAGCAAAAGTGAGGCACTAAGCAACTCAGTGAGACTCTGTCTCTAAATAAAATACAAAATAGGGCTGGAGACATGGCTCAGTGTTTAAGTGCCCCTGAGTTCAATCCCTGGTATCCCCCTGCCAAAAATATTAAATAAATAAGCAAGATAGGACTAGGGATATGGGTCAGTGGTAGAGCAGTTGCCTAGCATGCAGGAAGTTCTGGGTTCAATCCCCAGCACTGCCTAAATAATAAATAAATAAATAAACAAACAAATAAATAAGTAAGCGTGACAGCAAACAAATAAATGGTATATGGGTTTCTTTTGAACCAATGACAATAAATGCCATGAACCAAGGATTGTTGTTTATCTAATTTTGTGTACCTGCAGTCTGTTAAAAATGTAAGTTTGAAAAAAATTCACAGAAGAGGCGATACAAATAAATTATAAAAGATGCTCAAACTTAGTTTGAGAAATGAGAATAAAATTGAAATATCTTTTAACTGTTTTGCTAATAATAAAATATTTGATATTACTAGTCTAGTACCAAGAATAAATATAACAAAATAAATAAAATATTAATAAAATTTATCCACTGCTGATTAGAAAATGAATGGTACAATTATTAAAGAGTAGTTGAGCAACCTGAATCAACTTTACAATCTATATCCTTTTGACTGATGACTCACCCTAGGAATTTATCCTACAGATAAATTTACACAATGATATAATAAATATACAAGGATATTTGTTGGAATATTACTTATAATAGCCCCCAAATTGCAAACAGTACAAAGTTAACAGGGAATTGGGGAAATAAATTGATATATGACCATAAAATGGAATATTAAATAACCATTAAAAAGAATAAGGTTCTTCCTTGAGTGTTAATACCAAAATCAAGAGTAGCCACTAATGGCATTTTCATGCTAGTTTAAAAGATATTTCTTTACTCTAATAATATCAGGAATGTTAAACAAGGTAGAGTATGACAACTTTCTCATTACTACTCTCAACTGCTTGATTCTTGGTAAATGGACCCTATATTTATATGTAAAAAGCTTTAAAAGCAGAAAATCCTAATGGTACCTCCATTATGTACAATTTGTTGATAGAAAAAAATCCCCTTCTTCAAATTGAGTTACAATTTTGTTAGCAGAATTTTTTGTTCTTACTTAGAATTAAACCATTTTGAGAGCTGAGGTTCTTCTATTTGATCATTCCTAGGTACAAAGAGAAAAGTCAAATTGAGTAATCCTTTCAATAAATATTTGTTGAGTTTCTATAATATGATAGGCACACTCTGGTGCTGGTCCCACAACTATGCACAGGAAGCATACAGAAGAGCAGGAAAGAGTACTGATAGATACTTATGGGCCAGAGGAGAAAGTGCTAATAGAGAAAAAGCAGAGTTTGGTTGATGCATCAGAGTCTGGTGGATGAGTGGGGCATCCAACATGAAAAGCAGAGTCTGGTGGGTGAGTAGGGCATCCAACATGAATTTGAGATTAAGGAAAACCCTTTAGAGAAGGTGTAGGTAAAGTGGGCCTGGAAGGATAAGGGCTAGTCCAAGAAAGAGGAATGTGTTAGAAGTCATGACCAAACTTAGAAAGGTGAGGAGGAGCATGGTTCTTGGGGGTGGGGATGAGTGGGTGGAGACATATTTTTTAAATGAACAGAGTAGATAGAAAGATATAATAGAAAGATAGAAATATAGATTTAATTAATTCATTTTAATCTTTAGTAGCTTACTATGTGGTAGGTACTCTGTTATATGTTGAAATAATTGGGTTGGAATAAAAAACCAGGAAAAGGGCAACTAGCAGGACAGAAAACTTTTAGAGACTGATTATTCTGCTCCAGCCAGATACTGTGGCCTCCATCTCTACAATGCCCTTGTGGGTGGATGTTTCACCAGAAACCATGGAGGCCAAAAGGAAGTGTCATAGTGCTCCAAGAAAGTAACTGTCAACCAAAATGTCCCTGGTGAAACAAACTTTGAAGCATTTATTTGTAGAATCTCACCCAACAATGAAAAAGAGGGAAACGTTAAACACAACAACCTGCTTCGAATTTCAGCCTTATGCTGAGTGAAAAAAGCTCATCTCAATAAGTCATACACTATATGACCTCATTTATAAAATGCTCTCCAAGTGCCCAAATTTCATCATTTGAAAATAAATTAGTTGTAATACCAGAGGGTAAGGAGGGTCTGGAGGAGAGAGTTACACATGAATTCAAATGGGACATTTTGTGGTAATGGGATGCTTTTGTATCTTGATCAACATGGTAGTTACATGAATCTACACATATGATAAGATTATATAGCTATATGTGCACCTGCTTCAATGTTAATTTCCTGATTTTGATGATTTGAGATGTAACATTGGGGGAAACTGGATGAAAGGTATACATGGTCTCTGAAACTGCTTATGAATCTGTCATTATTTTTAAATAAATTTAGGAAAAAACCTTAAAGAATGCTTTTCTTTATATTTTCATAGGTGTCTTCAGCTAAAAATATTTTGTTATGGGATTCCTCAGGAAGCTGATCTTTCAAATTGCAAACATTAAAAATATACAGTGTCAAATATAGGACTTTTTAAAAGTTTATTCTTTTGAAGGTTGGTTTCACTATAAAACACAGTTGATTAAAGGGAGACTATCATAATCTAAAGAAAAATGTTGTACTTACTGGATAGAGACATCTGAACTACAGCAAATGTCAAAACCTTGTCTAGTGTAAGTGGAGTGTGTTAAGTGAGCAAAATTTGGAGGTGTTTACATACACAAGTTTATATAAACTCGTAGATACAGGTATGCTCATGAGCATAGACTATTTCTGAACTGCTATCCAAGAAATTTATCAGTGGTTGCTTCTATGGAATTCAATCTAGTTTTCTGTTTTCTCCACCGTCACTATTAGAACCCATCTAATTGCAACCAATTTGCCCTCAATAGTTGGTAGAGTATTTATAGGACAGATTCTTACCAGCAGATATACATCTTCTGTAAGTGATTCTTTATTCTTTAGATAAACGAAAAAAATTAGTTTTAAATTTAAACAAATGCCTATTATTATTGGAATAACATTACAATATATAGATTTCAATTTCATCCACCCACTCTTTTGTTAGCCATAACAAGCTAAACACTTTTTATATGTTAAGCATAATGCTACAGTTATGGAGTACATGACAAATCCAGGCCTGCAATAAGCTGATGATCTGTTATTTCTATTTTACTAAGCCCTTTATTATCTTCAAAAAGGCGACATTAATATTATATAACTGGCCAGCAGCCTGTTTTCATTAAGGTACAATATCCTTGAAGGATAAATAATGTGTAGAATATAATATCAAAGAAATAGGGTTTATTTAAAAAGTCATTAGCTCTTATATAGCTCTTACAATATAGCTATGATTCAAAACAGCATTCAGTAATATTGCATTACTTATGAAAAAGATCATAAAAGGACAACATGGAGGAGGTCAGAATTTGAATTTTAATTTTTCTATGAGAGAATTTTAGTAGGTTAACAAATTTTTTCTCTGGTATAGCCAGGTTTCTATAGCAAGTTGCTTTTAGTTCTATTCACATTGGATGGAACTTTTAAGTTTAAATTTTCCCCAAACAGCAGTCTGAAACTATCCTATTTCCTTGCCTTATTTCTTTCTGCCTAGAATTATTATATAAAATATAATATCCATGACATTATATTATATACTTCTTTGCTTATTTTCCTTCTCCACATAGAGTGTAAAGCTCCGTAAGAAAAGTTACTTTGAGTCATTGCTGTTTTCCACCACCTAGAACAGGTCCTAGCACCAAGAAGGGGGTCAATAAATATGTATTCAGAGTTAAAAATATGAAAATAATTAATGCATTATTTCCTCAAATAAGAGATAATTCTGATTAATTTAGTTTTTGACTAAAGCTCATTATTTTAGATCAGTTCTATCAATCATTAAAGATAAAGATTCATCAATATTTTATATTTACCTGAAATGATGCTCAATCCATGTCAACAATAAAGCAAATAAAATCAATAGCAGTATTTTTTTTTTAGAATTAATTCTTTTCTAGAAAAGGAAGAGAAAATTTTTTTGGGGAAAGTAAAACTGCTTCTTCACCCTCTTCTAACATATTAATGTATGGAAATTTGGTCACCAATCTTAGTGTCTGATTCTAGATAACTCAGCCTCAGGAAGAAAGCATACTTAAGTAAGGGAAACCACCTCTTCTCCTTGAAGTGCCTGAAAAATTTTTTAGGATGTCAACTGTTGATTTTTGGATTAGGGATGAAGTGTCTATGGAGCTTCCTTTGCATTCCTTTATCAAAGTTCACCCTGACTGCATAAAGGACGTTCAATAAAACCCTCCTATTTCACTTATGCTTTTTTGAGAATAAAAAGGTAATTTTGAAGACACATGTCAGAAGTCGTCCAGGATTGCATGTGGGTCACTGTGCATGAAAGCCTAGTGGTGTCTGGGAATGACCAGTGGACATTTCCTCTGGCCAATTACCCAGGACAATGAGAATCTCTATCCCACTCTACTGAGGTCCACACTGCACCTGAGATCTTCCAAGACGTCAATCAATCTGCTGACTGCAAGACATCAGGAGCAAGACTCCTCCCTTGAAACCTTATCCCTGCCTTTGATGTACCCCTTAAATAAACCACTTTAGCCATTTTCCCTTTGCCTAGTTCCAGAATCCATATGGACTAGATCTGTCAGGGGCTTTGCTTTCTGTAAATATATTTCTGAGTATTTGTGCTTTGTTATTTACAAATTATTTGAGATTGTAAATTTTATGGTTGCTTGGATTATCCTGGGCAGGAAGAAGAACCCCTTAATGAGATCTGGCCATTGTCGCCTGATAGACATGCCCTGGGATCTATACTGTCCCAATGTTGATTTTACATGTTTTCTTAATAAAGATAAAAAGACCAATAATTTATTCAAAGACTATAAGAGTAGTAACCTAAAAATATTTGAGCTCTCACCCAGGTATATCCTTGTAAACAGTAATTAAAAATCTAAATTAAAGGTATTAAACTCTAAAGTGGAATCTTTGGCTCCAGCCATTGCATTGAGCTTGTTTATACTGGAGGTATTAGATGTCCACAAGCATAAGATGGTTTTTGGTAGGCGTCTGCCAACAGTAGGTTTTGCCTTCATATTTTGTATTGGAGTAAAATAGAGGCTTCTGCTATTTAATTTTTGAACACATTTAATGAGCAGATGTTTTAAATCTGTACTTTATAATACAATGGCCATTAGTCAGATATGGCTGGTATATCCTTATAAGAAGATTTACTAGGAGAAAAAGAATTTAAGATGTCTCATAAGTTTTTATATTGACTACTTGCTGAAATAAAATTTCGGATATAGTGAGTAAAATATTAAAAGCAATTTAATCTGTTTCTTCTTACCATTTTTCAGTATAGCTCCAGAATACTTAAAGTAACAAATGTGCTTTATATTTCTATAGCTAATATCACATTGGGCAGGCTTCATTTGGGTATAACTTTAGTGTCTCAGCAATGACGCTAAAGATCATTTGAAACACTATATCAAGACTGTGGCCCATCTAGCCAGACTATTTTCTGTAATTATGACCTCAGTGACTTTTTTTTAAGTCCAGGTATGTTGATGAGTTACATATTATTCTATACAGTGTGCTTTTAAGGCCAAAATTTGGGGATGAGCACTACCTATGATTTTGCCATAATTACCCCAAATTTTACAGTTACTTCCTAAGAGTTACTTTACCTTCAGTCTTGATGATCTAAAGAGAAGTACTAGGATAGATTGTTTTCCAGGCATTATATTTTTAAGTGTATAGAAGAACAGAAAATTGAATTCAATGCCACTCTCGTACTGTTTGAGCCTTCTATTACTGATGATGTCACCAGATTCTTTTGATGATGAAAGTGTTAGAAAGGCACTGTCATAATGAGTCATCTGGTGGCAAGTCGCTATCATTGCTACAAAACAATAGAACTTTGTCTCATTTGAAAACTTAAAGGATTTTAAAATGTTCTACCTTTAGTTACCTTTGTTGTACTTCCTTAGCTTTGTGACTGATCTTTATTCAAATGGTATGTTATGTGTATATGTGTGTGTTTGACAGGGATAAAGTGCAGCAGTCTTTCTTTTTTAGCCTCATTTAGATGTTGTCTAGTTATTCTAGGCAGACCAAATCTTTTCTTTGAGTGTTTTAAAAGTATTTGTTTTATGATTATAGAAATAATACATTTTCCTGTTATAAAATACAAGTACATAAAAACACAAAGGAAAAATGATCACTTTTAATCACACTATTCTGACGTAGTCATGCTTAACCTAATATGCACCATTGTTCTCCCTTGCCATTTAAAACTAAATTTGTTGGGCTGGGCTGTAGTTCAGTGGTTAAGTGCTTGCCTCGCATGTGTGAAGCACTGGGTTTGATCCTCAGCACCACATAAAAATAAATAAAGATATTGTGTGTTCATCTACAACTAAATAAATATTTGGTGGGACTGCAAATTGGTGCAGCCAATTTGGAAAGCAGTATGGAGATTCCTAGGAAAGCTAGGAATGGAACCACCATTTGACCCAGCTATTGCCCTTCTCAGACTATTCCCTGAAGACCTTAAAAGAGCGTACTATAGCGATACTGCTTGCTACATCGATGTTTATAGCAGCACAATTCACAATAGCTAGACTGTGGAACCAACCCAGATGCCCTTCAATAGATGAACGGATAAAAAAAATGTGGCATTTGTACACAATGGAGTATTACTCAGCACTAAAAAAATGACAAAATCATGGAATTTGCAGGGAAATGGATGGCATTAGAGCAGATTATGCTAAGTGAAGCTAGCCAATCCCTAAAAAAAATGCCAAATGTCTTCTTTGATATAATGAGAGCAACTAAGAACAGAGCAGGGAGGAAGAGCAGGAAGAAAAGATTAACATTAAACAGAGACATGAGGTGGGAGGGAAAGGGAGAGAAAAGGGAAATTGCATGGAAATGGAAGGAGACCCTCATTGTTATACAAAATTACATATAAGAGGAAGTGAGGGGAAAGGGGAAAAAACAAGAGAGAGAAATGAATTACAGCAGATGGGGGGTAGAGAGAGAAGATGGGAGGGGAGGGGAGGGGGGATAGTAGAGGATAGGAAAGGTAGCAGAATACAACAGTTACTAATATGGCATTATGTAAAAATGTGGATGTGTAACCAATGTAATTCTGCAATCTGTATTTGGGGTAAAAATGGGAGTTCATAATCCACTTGAATCTAATGTATGAAATATGATATGTCAAGAGCTTTGTAATGTTTTGAACAACCAATAATAAATAAATAAATAAATAAATTTGTTTTTCTTATTTAAAAAGAAGTGCATGTGTGCACATCACAATAAAAGATTCTAAAAGAAAAAAAAAAGAGTGTTATAGTGTACATTGAGACATCTTCTACCCCATCACCTGACTCCTCTTGTCGCTCCATCCCCAATATCGACCACTCTTTTCACAATTTCTTGGGATTTATTCTATAATTATTCTGTGCCAATAGAGACATGTATATTTTTATATAGTTCCCTTTTAATGCAAATGACAGCATACTAAATATATTCTTAGTACTTTCAATTTCTCACTCAACAAAATATTTTGAAGATCATTCCATTACACTTCATACAAATGTGGCTCATTCTTTTTCTGTGGGTGAACTGTTTTTAGTTACATGAATGTATCATTTAAGATGTTTTCCATATTGCTAGACATTTAGATTGTTTACTATTTTTGCTCTTATAAGAAATTCCACAGTGAAGTGCTTGAACATTCTTTATAAGCACTCGTTGAACAAATAGTGAAGGACAAGTTCCTCGTATTTATGTTGCAAGATAAATTCCAAATGAAATTTCTGGGCCATAACTTAAACTCATTTAGGGCTGGGGTTGTGGCTCAGTGGTAGAGTGTTTGCCTGGCATACATGAGGCACTGGGTTTGATCCTCAGCACCACATAAAAATAAAATAAAGGTATTGTGTCCACCTACAATTAAAAATATATATTTAAAGGAAAACTTAAACTCATTTAAAATTTAAGTAAATATCATTACACTGCTTTCTATAGAGGTTGTATAATGAGCTTTCGACATCAGTGTATTGATTTATCCTATTATTACTATTATTGGGCATCTTCTCACTTGTTTAAAGCCATTATTTTCTCTAAACTGCTCATAACCTGTTTCTATTCAATCTTTGTTTACATTTTAAAAGTTATTTTAATTTTGACATAATTTTAGATTTGAAGACATAGTAATCAAGACCACATGGGATAACTGTGTTTATATGGGTATGTCTCTGTGACTTCTATTCTGTTCCATTGGTCTTCATATCTATTTTTGTGCCAATACCATGCCGTTTTTGTTACTATGGCTCTGTAGTATAATTTAAGGTCTTGTGTTGTGATGCCTCCTGCTTCACTTTCCTTGCTAAGGATTGCTTTGGCTATTCTGGGCCTCTTATTTTTCCAAATGAATTTTATGACTGCTTTTTCTATTTCTATGAAGAACATCATTGGAATTTTAATAAGAATTGCATTAAATCTATGATGCAGCCACATCAGTTTAATTCACAATAGCCAAGCTATGGAACCAACCTAGGTGTTCCTCAACAGATGAATGTATAAAGAAAATGTGGTATATATACACACAATGGAATATTTCTCAGCCATAAATAAGAATAAAATTAAGACATATGCCAATAAGTAGATGCAACTGGAGAATATCATGCTAAATGAAATAAGACAGTTTCAAACAACTAAAAGCCAAATGTCCTCTCTAATACATGGATGCTATACCATAACAAGGGAGGGTAGGAAAGGGTGGAATAGAAGTCCATTAGATTAGACAAAGGGGAATGAAGGGAATGGAGGGGGGAGGCAGTAGGAAGGACAGTAGAATTAATTGGACATAACTTTCCTATCCTTGTATTTGAATACACTATTAGGGTAACTCTGCATCAGTCCAACCAAAAGAATAGAATCCTAATTAGAATAAGTTATATTCCATGTATGTATAATATGCTAAAATACACTCTAATATCATGTATATCTAAAAAGAACAACAACAACAACAAAAGACCATATGGTTTTTAATTTAGACAAAGAGGTTATTGGAAAAGAATAGAGTCCATATATAAACCCACATATATATAAACAACTTACTTTTGAAACATAAAAAAGACAATTTATTGGAGAAAGAATAGTTTTTTAAAGTGGCTCTGGAATAATTGAATATCCATAAGCAAAAATAAAACCAAAAAGTCAGTTTGTCATCATACACAAAAATTAATTCTAAATGTATCATTGACCTAAATGTAAAATCTAAAGTCATTAAATATTAAGAAAACATAGTTCTTCCATTTTCCCCACCCACCCCACAGTTATGGATCAGCATTCACTTATCAGAGAGAACATTTGGCCTTTGGTTTAGGAGGAATGGTCTGTTGAGCATGATATTCTCCAACTTCATTCATTTACCTGCAAATGCCATAATTTTATTCTCTTTTTTAATGCTGAGTAATATTCCATTGTGTATATATACTACAGTTTCTTTATATATTCATCTATTGAAGGGCATCTAGGTTGATTCCACAGTTTAGCTGTTGTGAATTGAGCTGCTATAAACATTGATGTGGCTACATTACAATAGTATGCTGACTTTAAGTCCTTTGGGTATACAATGAGGAATGGGATAGCTGGGTCAAATTGTGGTTCTATTCCAAATTTTCCAAGGAATCTCCAAAATAGAGGAACTTTGATTGGACTGAGGGGAGGGGAGGAGACATGGGGCAGGAAAGATGGTGGAATGAGGTGGACATCATTACCTTAGGTACATGCATGACTGCACATATGTTGCAACACTGCATTGTGTACAACCAGAGAAATGAAAATTTGTGCTGCAATTGTGTATAGTGAACCAAAATGCATTCTGCTGTCATATATACCTAATTAGAATAAATAAATATTTTAAAAAATAAAACAGAAAAAAACAATAAAGAAAGCTTCAGATTAGGAGAAATAGTTTTTTAAAAAATAGACAAAAGATTTGAATAACCACATCACCAGAAACACACACACACACATAAATAAGTGTAGTCACTCCTTAGTATTTATGAGGGGTTGGTCCCAGGACCTACAAATGCCAAAGTCTGTGATGTTCAAATTGCTTATATAAAATGGTGTAGTATTGGGGTATAAGTTAACATACACTCTCCAGTATACTTTCAGTCATCTCTGGATTACTTATAATGCCCAATGCAATGTGTAAGTAATTGTTATACTATATTATTTAGGGAATATTGACAAGAAAAATTCTGTGCATGTACAGTACAGGTACAATTTTTAAAAAAATATTTTTGATCCACAGTTGGTTGAATCTAAGGATGTAGAAGGCCAATGTATACATGAGAAGATGGTCAGTGTTGCTAGTCTTCAGGCAAATGCAAATTAAAACCAGAATATCAAATTACTGCACTCCTAAGGGAATGGCTAAAATTAAGAAAACTAAGTGCTGGTGAGAATATAGAGAACTGGATCTCTCATATGCTGTTGGTGGAAATATAATATGATACAGGTGCTTTGGAGAAGAGTTTGCAGTTTCTTAACAAGCTAAGAACACACTTATCATACAATCTGGCAGTTTTACTCTTAGGTATTTATTCGGATAAATGGAAGTATATGTCTATAAAAAGAGCCATATGTGATTGTTCATAGTAGTTTTATTAGTAATGAAAGGTTAATAAAAAAAGTACTTGTCACTCCGTTTCTCTATATGCTTAACAAAACACTGTTGAAATCTTAAGAACTGTTTGCTAATCTTGTTCCCAGA